ATGTTTATTAGAAGTGTGTGAAAAGATTTTTTTAATAATCGCTTCCACCAGGGAGATATCACAGACAATAGTTTAAAGATGCATTATGTAAGATTTAGACCATTCTTGCTATAATGGTTTAAAAATTGATAATGTAAAATGAATATACATTTATTGAAAATTTTATTCAAATTATTCTTCTTGTGAGCGAAGATATTAGCCTTTGAAGGTTTGACAAGATTTGTTCATTAATTGCAACCACTGTACTGGTTGTACGAAGCTAAGCTTCGCTTGTTTATTTTTGAATTTAATCAAAATATGGCTGACCCAATCTAATCTGCTTAATATCATAGATATCTGATGGCATCAAGAGTTGATTATGGTCTTGTCATGTTAATAAATGTCTAATTAATACTCTGTATCACATTTCAGACCTAAAGAAAAACCTGCAATAGACAGATTTAGCTCTTGCATAATGTATGTTTAATGAACTGAAACACCCTCCAAAATATTAAGCTGCCTAGGACTAGTCTATAGCACTTGGTACTCACGTTTTTGCTATCATAATCTTCTCTTTTAAATACCCACCCATATTGAAATATATTACCATCCTCAAATGATGCCTTATTTTTATTGGTAACAATACAGAAATCACTCATTTTACAATTTTTGTATGTACATGTAATATAGACTAGCGAGAAGAATATAATTATTTCTTTTCTAACTGCTGTCTTACTTTTTTACAATTTTTATTTGTAATATAGACTGGTGAGAAGTACAGGCTTATTTCTTTTCTCATCACAATTTTCAGAGTAAATTGTCTTGATTATATGAAATCTGGTCCACTCTTCTAAAACACAACTTCTTTTCATTTGTGAGTCTGAAAGGTAGAAGAATGTAGCCTGTTGATTTAGTTCTATTTCCTTTGATAACTTCCGAGTTATGCTGCTATCTCAATCAGTTTTACTTAGTTTAAAGAAAATTGATGCCAGATGCAATTCTGTGTTCTATATATTGCCCTCATAAACCAAATCGCACCAATTGCCAAATGACTAATTTCTGTTTAAACTGTTATATAATTGTTGTCTTTCGAAGAAAGCAGGGGACTATTAAAATGGGTTCGTTCGTCTGTCTGTCTGTCCATCTGTTGATCACACTTTTTATTCATTATAACTGGGGTTTGGTAGCTGAATGGTGTGCATTTTATATCATGACAAAGAGTAGGGTGGCCTGTCCAGCTTCCTTAGTTTATCTCCAGGTCTTCCAGTTTCCTCCCACTGCTAAAGACCCCTCTGCATAACTGAATTATGGAGATAAAATTGAACCAAATGTTAGTCCCAAAGTGAACATTAAACCCTATATTTTTCTGTGTTAATTATGAATAAATTGTATCAGTTATCAACAGGATTTAAAGTGGTGTTCTATGTCATGAGTTTAATGATTTCCTGTAAATATACCACTTAAAACATTGTTATCAAGACACCACCCTTGGTCTTTCTAGAAGAATTTGGTAACAGAAAGTATCTGATATATTGGGTAGTCCTTGTTGTTTTCCGGATTTAACAGCTTAAAAATTAAAGATGGCTATTAGAGAGAGAGTGAAATGGGGTTTAACGGCCACTCGACACAAACTAGGTCATTTCGGGACTAACATATGGTTTAATTTTTTATTTCAATAATTCGCTTGCACGTAGGGGTCTTTAGCAGTGGCAGGAAACCGGAGGACCCGGAGAAAACCCACGAGGTTGGACAGACAACCCTACTCCTTGTCACGTACAACTGGGGATTCGAAACCACGCCAGTTGACTCAATGACAGGCTTATGATACAGCGTGCAAGTGCTAATCATTTGGCCATCCAACCCCCCGAATTGTTTACGGTGTACATTTTATATCATGACAAAGAGTAGGGTGGCCTTTCCAACTCCCTAAGTTTATCTCCCATTCCTCCGGTTTCCTCCTACTGGTAAAGAACCCTCCACACAACCGAATCCTGAAGATAAAATTGAATCAAATGTTAGTCCCAAAATGAACTAGTATTCAAGTGGACATTAAACCCCATATTTTTCTGTGTTAATTATGATTAAATTGTATCAGTTATCAACACGATTTAAAGTGGTGTTCTCTGTCATGAGTTTAACGATTTCCTGTAAATATACCACTTAAAACATTGTTATCAAGACACCACCTTCCCAGTGCTCAAACTTTAAACTGGATCTTTTTAGAAGAATTTGGTAACAGAAAGTATCTGATATACCGGGTAGTCCTTGTTGTTTTCCAGATTTAACAGCTTAAAAATTAAAGATAGCTGTTAACCCAGAATGGTTGAAGCTGTCTGATTGACTGAAAGAATTCAAATAAATTCAAATATCTACCAATCATGTACAGCTAATATTAGAACCAAACATATCAAACTGACAAGGACAAAATCTGTTTAATCAGCTGCTCATATGACAGACTACCCATGATTGACAAGGTTTCCTGTCAGGCTGTAGAAGAGTGTAGAAGAGGATCTACAAATCTGGTTAAACCATGGACCTTATAATACCTTATAATATAAGATCCATGGTTGAACTAGCTGATTTTATGTAAGAAACATGGAGTACAATTCCAAAGAACTTGCATTATATAGTTCTATAAATTAAGGGGGGTTGGGTGACTGAATGGCTGTATCATAAGGTCTGTCATTGAGTCAACTGCCGTGGTTTCGTTTCCCCAGTTGTAAGTGACAAGGAGTAGGGTCGCCTGTCCAACCTTGTGGGTTTTCTCCGGGTCCTCCAGTTTCCTCCCAGTGCTAAAGACCCCTATAAGCACAAGCGAATTGTTGAAATAAAATTGGGCCATGTGTTAGTCCCGAAATGGCCTAGTTTGTGTTGAGTGGACGTTAAACCCCATTTTTCTCTCTCCTTAAATTAAAAATGATATATGATTACTCAATATCCTACTGTGGTCTCTTTTGAGCCAATTCTGGCCGGTTGGTTTCAAAATGGATTAAGAACCTTGCTTCCACAATATACTTTTTAAAGATGCATTATATAAGAGCTAAATCTGCCTTTTGCAGGTCTTTTTTCAGCCTTCAAATGTTATACAAATTATTAATTAAACATTTATTCACATGTGTCAAGCCTATAACCAACCCTCTAGGTCGTCAGAGGTCGAGATTTAAATGTTAATAATTTAATTTAGAAATGGATAATTGAGAATTACTCAAGTACCGTTACTATGATAATAAACAATCTATGCAATATCTTGTCAAGATTTAAATGGATTAAAACATGATCGCCATTTAATAATTTAATTTAAAAATGGTTAATTGAGACTTGGTCAAGTACTGTTACTATGATAATAAACAATCTGTGTTGCATTTTGTCAAAACTTTAAACACTTATACCCTGGTTGTCCGTGACAAGGAGAAGGGCACCTGTCCAACCTCGTGGGTTTTATCTGGGTCCTCTGGTTTCCTCCCACTGCTAAAGACCCCTATGCGCAAGCGAATTATTGAAATAAAATTAAACCACATGTTAGTCCCGAAATGACCTAGTTGTGTCGAGTGGACGTTAAACCCCATTTAAAAAATAAAAAAAAATAAAAAAACTAATAACCTCTGTCAGAATAAAGTAATTTAAATTAAATTTTCAATATTTTTATTTTTCATTTCTTTTTTTTTTAACTTTTATAGCAAGAACAGTCAGTTCTTTATCTAAATCTTACATAATGCATCTTTAAAATCTTAAGAGTTATGTTACCGGTACTTATTATATAGTTCCTTTCCTGAAATCAAACATAAACAGTGTTGTGTAACTTAACAATAATAATAGTTATTGTCTTCCTGAATTTAAAAATTATGGTGTATATTTCCTAAAGTAAAAGATTGGGGATGCAACTCACATTATAAAGTTCCTAAAATTTAAAATTTGAGAACAATTAGAATACAATTAAAAGTACTGTAACTCATCATATACATAATTTAAAATTTGAGAACAATTAAAATACAATTAAAAGTACTGTAACTCATCATATACATAATTTAAAATTTGAGAACAATTAAAATACAATTAAAAGTACTGTAACTTACATCATATACAAAATTTAAAATTTGAGAACAATTAAAATACGTACTGTAAATTACATCATATGCATTATTTAATTATAAAAGTTCAAAATTTGGGGACAATAGAAATACATACTGTAACTTATATACAAGTCTGGACAATTTGGAGACAATTAAAATATGTACTATAACTTATATCATATTGTTTGTAAAATTAGCAAGTGGGATGTATTTTGCAACTTAAACACATGGAAGGATATAATACTATGGAATACAGTTACTGTATATATTACTGTATATTACTTACTGATCAATATTTCTACTAGGTTTCTCTAGTCTTTATCAAACAATCTGTGTTTCCAGTTCATTTACTAAATGCCATTGAAATAATTTATTTGACGTTATATAGTTTATAAAATTATCAGGATTTGTAAGCTAGACTTGTGTGAATTTATTTTAAATTCAATCTGGTTAAAACACAGATCCTATTTCGTTTCGTTTTTATAGTTCAAAATATCATTTTACTTGTCTTTACTACACTTGGATCTGGAAGAATTGTTATTTAACTCCTGTTCTGAATGGTGTCAGGGAAAAGCCAATGAAACAGTCTGTTACGGCGAGCTTTAGGCGTGTTTTGCACGGAACTGTGGGTAATTCACTAGTAACATCAATGCTGATTGGTTAATCAAAAGTCGGTCTTTTGACCCCTGACGTGACCTATCGCTATAACTTGTCAGATCTTCATGTAGTGTAGGCCATCGAAAGTATAAAAAAAATGAAACGAAATATAGATCTGTTTTTTAATCAGATTGTTTTAAATTCTGCTTTTGGTGTTATTGAAATTTTTGTGTCCGTCGTGATTTAATTGAAATTCTGTTTTATGTATTTTTTTACCGGAATGAATAAGTATGCTATTCACTGATTGCTACTTTTGTGGACAAATTCTTCTAAACTTTGAATTTTATATTTTAGGCAATTCGTGTGTTTTTCTTGTTGAGAGATTTATCTTTTACTTTGTTAAATGAATCTGATGTATCTTTACCTTTAACTAAAGATGAAGCATGTGTCAAGATAAATGATGTTTTAGATTTAAGTAAGTACACTTTTTATTAGATATTTTTCAATCAATGTTTGGGTTGTTTTGGTGTTTTTTTGTTTTTTTTAATTTTAATAACTAAGTTCATTAACTAAAAGTTATTGACTAGTAGATATTTGCTTTGAAAAGTTCAATTCTAGTTTAGATTATACAATTTTAAACAGAAATTTTTTTTTTTTTAATCACTTATAATCTCATTAGAAAATGAAACTAACCTTTGAGTTTGATGTAGTGGCAGATCCAGGTGTCCTCCCCCCACCCCCACCCCTCCCCCCTTACTATCACTTATCTTTTATTCGATTTCTACGAAACGGGCAGATTTGAGCTTTTAATTGGTTGGGTTGATGATATAGCTGGTGACATTTTAATGTTATATTCGGGCCCAGATATGCACTACTTTACAAGAGGACACACACACACCCATACCAGATATCCTGTGTCTACCACTGTGAACTGCTCATTGTTCCATTGATGAAGACTTTTAGGAAGTCCCTTCAACATCCACTTCCGTCGACCCCTAATATGTATTCAGATAAATCATCGTCTATTGAAGTCTTTTAGGCAGATCAGATATTAAAATAAAACTGTAGTTCTAGAATTAATTTTGGCCATCAATAACACTGTACATTCTGTTTTTTAATTCATCAAACTGGAAAAAGGCATTTATAGTTAAAGGGTGTTGTTTGATGAGATAAATAAAGTCCAGTTTTCATCATTTAAAAACATTAAAACAAGTTGCACAATTCTTTGACTTGTCATTGCTTCTTTGTGATTACAGAAATATAAAAAATAAATTGGAAATCCTTTATGGAAATAAATTGTAGTTTTAAATTTTAATAGGGTAGATATTATAAATAGGTAATGATTATAACAGTAAATGTTAAGAGCTTGTAGGTGTAATTGAGACACGTGTGGTATGGCACGTGTTTAACAATGCGCTGTAGAAGGGTGCGCCTAAGCCCTGCGCCTTATGTACGCATGCGCCTAAGAATACAGTAGATATTATAAATCAGTATGCAGATACTTGTTTCCTGTTACCGGTACTTAGAATCATAAATTTTAAACAGAGGTGGTTTCCAATTAAAAACATAAGGATATTTTTAAAAGAAATGGTTTCTGTTCATAGTTATTTATAGAAATATTTCCTGCTTGAAGTCATGTAATTACAGAAATTCTTCCTGATTGAAGTTATTCATTTTAGTAATTGTAGTTAATTGTTTATTTTTCAGATAATAGTGATTTAATAGCTTGTACTATATTACTCAAAGACAGGTAAATATATTACAAGTTTAACATGATTCAAACTTCAAAAACTCATTGGTTTCCATAGCAAATATATAATTCTTTGGTTTTAAGCAGAAATCAGGATTTATGAAAACAAAACATTAATGTGTATAGACATGCCACATAGCACATATTCTGTACATCAGATTATTACACTGTAAGGGGGGTGGGGGGATGGTCAAATGGTTAGCACGCTGTATCATAAAGTCTGTTATTGAGTCAACTGGTGTGGTTTTGATCCTCTGGTTGTATGTGACAATGAGTAGGGTCGCCTGTCCAACCTCGTGGGGTTTTTTCGGGTCGTCCTTTTTCTCCTACTGCTAAAGGCCCCTATTTGCAAGCGAATTATTGAAATAAAATAGAACCATATGTTAGTCCTAAAATGACCTAGTTTGTGTCGAGTGAATGTTGTACCCCATTTCTCTCTTTCATTATACTGTAACCCAGGTGGTATTGTTTAATCTTGCATAGACAAGCGTCCAATTTACAGGCATTTAATTTTCCAAACACTGTTAAAAAATAAATGACCGAATTTATTATTAATGTTTAATAATAAATTTGGATGTTATTTTTTAATGGTAATCAGGAAATAAAACGCTTGTATATTGAACACTGGTTATCAGAATTAATTGATCAGCTTTAAACTGGACTCGAGTACAAATTAAATGATTTTGGGTGATTTAAGGGGGGTGGGGGTTAACAAATATTCAAATAAAGATTTGATATTGAACGATTGTGAAAGAAATTAGAGATAAATATGCATATTAAATTCTACACAGGATACAGTATTAGATTCCCAATAGACCATCTGCTTGGAAACATTGCTACATCCTTTGTTCATGCTGGTATTATATCCTATAGTGATTCAATAGAAATGCTTCTCTCTGAGAAAGGTATTCTGGTTTACATAATTTCTCTTTGATTAAGATCATTCCAGGAAAAGTTTTAATTAGGTACTTGATTACTGACTTTAATAATTTATTGCACACATGAGTTATTTGTGGTTAGTAATTACCATGAGCAACAATTTATGGAAAATATGGAACATTATTTAATAATTTATGGAGAAAATGAAAGAGTAGAAATAACCTTTAGCGTAACATGTTTACCGGACCTGAATAGATAACATGTAATTTATGAATATCACAGATTTGATTAGATAGGTTAGACTTGTCTATTCCCTGAAAAATAAAATTCTCTGTAAATTTATAATGTTAAATGATATATATGTTTTTCTTTTTGAACTCCTCTGTTGTTAATAGTTTTTGTTTGTTTGACAGTTAACACGGTTATGCAGGCTTCTTTGGGACAAATAATAGTCTTAACTAATCTTAGCCCTTTCAAGTTACCCTAAACATATCCCTCCCCCCTAGATTTACTGGGAATGGGACAACATGCGTTTTAACATGTGGTTTATTTTGACAAATTTTAAAGCATATTTCATTAAGGTATCTGATCGTCATTTGAGAGATTTTTAATCCCTTGCAAACTACAATATTGTGAAAGTTGAATATCTAAATCTAATATTTGTCCGATCAGTATAATATAATGAATTGAAGTGAGATATGGTCAAAACAAGCCAGCACTGCCTATAATCTTCACAAATATTTTTTGACGAGCCTCTTTTTTAATTCAATTGACTCAAAGCCAGCAGATTTAACTATCGTTGACAATTAAAGAAGCATTATGCAAGAGCTAAATCTGCCTATTGCAGGTTTTTCTTTAGGCCTGAAATGTTATATAAATTATTAATTAGACATTTATTAACTTACCAAGACCATAATCAACTCTTGATGCCATCAGATGGCTGTGATATAAGTAGATTTAAATACGTTTTGTGGTCAATGCAGTTATAGTAAAATTGGATAATCAAGACTTTATTTATTATCATAACAACAGTAGTAATGACAATCGAGGCTAGGCTATAATTGCATCGCCAATATCTAGGCTCAAAGTGGAGTAATTTGAAATTTTCAGCATATTCTCCTTTTATTATCTATTTATAGTTTATTTTTTATCTATTATAGCGAGAACTGTCAGCTCTTTATCTAATCTTACCTAATTCCGTTTTAAATGTGAAGTAATCAGTTTGAGTACATTTTAGCATTGATTAAGCTGTAAAACATTATCTCGGAAAAGCACAATTGACAATCATCAGCTTTAATATAATTCCTTATAACTAGAAAGAACAGGAGTAGAACTGCCTTACTTGGTTTATCTGTGGTTCAAATGATAGTAAAATATATTCTAATGACAATTACCATGAACAAAAATAATCAGTGTTATTCACTAACTAATTAATAACTCTAATAATTGACTTATAGCCAATTCTCAACCCTTGTGCAAGAGATTTGCCGTGTAGCTTGCATCAGGCTGTGTTTGATAGAATCTTCTGTTTATAAGCCCATTGAGTCAAAAATTTAAATCATCATCTGTCCATTGTCCATCCAGCATACGCTATTAATCATTGAACAAGATTTTGTAGGAATGTTTCCAGGGTTGTGTTTATTCAGATGTCTTCATATGAAGTGGCTTGCCCCCCATATGGACTGATTGGGGATACATTTAAGTGTCAAATCTAGGCAATCTTTAAAATCTCCTACTTCTATGATAAAATGGGCCAGAGGAAGACAGGGTTTCCACAGAAGATCAACTTTAAACATTTTGGACTGTTTGCAGGTTGGGGGGTTGGATGGCTGAATGGTTAGCGTGCGCGCGCTGTATCATAAAGTCTGTCATTGAGTCGACTGGCGTGGTTTCGAATCCCCGGTTGTACGTGACAAAGAGTAGGGTTGCCTGTCCAACCTCGTGGGTTTTCTCCAGGTCCTCCGGTTTTCACCCACTGCTAAAGACCCCTATGCATAAGCGAATTATTGAAATAAAATTAAACCATATGTTAGTCCCGAAATGACCTAGTTTGTGTCGAGTGGACGTTAAACCCCATTTCTCTCTCTCTCTCTCGTTTGCAGGTTTTCAATAAAAATTGGGATAAATATTGCTTAGGTTGTGGTTATTAAGGCTTATTCTTATGAAATTGCTCAACCCCATAATGGTGGAGCAGAGACACCTTATTTTATCGACAGGTGTTGATAAATTAAACTAGTATGAGATTATCATCCATTATCATTTATACTTGAAAATAAGGAGCAATATAAATCATAGTGACATTTGATAAATACAAACTGGGTAATGTGTGCCCATAATATGTGATAATCAGTATGACCCTGGACTCCATCCATAGATGATAAATACCCAAATTAAATAGCAACAAACATATTTTACCAAGTTAAAGGACAATATTGCTGTCAGTCATTATAAAATATGTGATAGTACTGTTTAAATACATCCCAAATATAATTTTAACACAGAGATCATTGCTAAGGGAGATGTGTAACAAGCATGTGAAGAAACCGGAAGTGACGACAAACATGACAAACACGAGTTATCCTTCTATATAACTAACTAAAGGAATGAGCGATAACAGACACGCGATCGAATTTCATTTGACTGATAATTCTGTTGAAGATGAAAAGTTATTATATGAGACGGTGAGAGTATTTCAAAAAAAGAATTGGCTGACAGTAGATAAAAGATAACGAACAAATTAGAAAAAGTCTGTGCATTACCATGTTTTTATTAAGAACAGAATGAATAAAAACGGGGGAATGCACATTATTTTTCTCGTTTTCCCTTATCTAGTGACAGCCAATTCTATTTTTGAATTGTGAGATACCCTCTCACTGTCCCATATAATAACTTTTCATCTTCAACGGAATTATCAGTGAAATGAAATTCGATCGTTTGTCTGTTATCGCTCATTACTTCAGTCAGTTGTATAGAAGGATAACTCGAGTTTGTCATGTTTGGCGTCACTTCCCGTTTCTTCACGTGTTTGTTACACATCTACCATAGCAATATTGTCCTTTAAAGAAAAAATAAGTACTTCTGACAAACACCTTATTAGAGAGTTGTGGTTTGTTTTTCGTAAAGCTTAGATATTAATAATAAAACTGAGGAATGATTTTCTGCTCATACTGTCCCTTTAAACCAACTTGTACCGGTACTAACCGATACCCTATAGACCAGAATATATCTTGAAAAACATGAAGGGCAAATCCCGATAATTTTTGGGAGAATAAAACTGCTTAATTTTGTGTTAAAATTCCTTAAAACCCTCTACCTAAGGGCTGAGCAAAATGTGTAGGGGAAATTTACCTTTTGTTACCAAGTACAGCACGTGGGTCATTCACTGTATAGACCTCTCAAAAAACGGGAATCGATTATCAGGTCACCCAACGAAAAATTGACCAAACGACTGAATATTTTGAGCTGAAATTTTGAGACAAGGTAAATACACCACTCTATATTTCATACTTACTTGAACTTTAATTTTGGAGACCCTGTTCTAATCAGGATAGTCCCTTTAAGAGGAACTAATTAACAAAAATGTCTTAATACATTTAGTTTTATTATTTCAGCTTCAAAATACACCTTAGATAAAGTAAATCATCAATTTTATATACTAAACTCTAATTGTTAGCTAAGGGCTCCTTGGAAACCACTATAGGTTATAAATGACTCATAATGAATCTTATAACATCTCCATATTAGCCATTGATTGAAGACCTTTTTATAAATTTGTAAATGCAAACATATGATGAAATAACCGGACGTAATATTCTCACTTAATATCAAATTACTTAAGGTACAAAAAAAATATATCATCTTACTAAAATGATATATACTATTCAAAAAAAGTAGGGGATATTTGATTTTTAAGTGTTATTAAAGTCACCTAATGAAACTGACAGAAACAAATGACAAAATGAAATGAAGTTCACATTCATCGATTTATTCCAAATGATCGTTAGACTAAGTAAGGCACAGACTGACCATTATAAGGGTAAAATGATACCCGGGGTCAAACAGCAAAGTTACCACAGCATCACAACCAAGTCAGTAACGGGTAAATCCTCCTCTGTTTGCCA